TGTGATCTGTTGAATAATACCCTGTGCGAAAGTGTAAAATCTAGTTTGCTTCTTGCAGTGATGGGCTGCCTTCAAATGTAAATTAAGGAGCTCAGGATTGGAGCCATCAAGATCATTTTTCCAGCTATCAGGCCCAGAGAAGTGGCCAATGGTGGAGACCAGTGATAGAGAACCAGTAGCCAAAAGCTGCTGCCTTGCACATCTGGGGGATAACTAATTCCCAAGGAATACATTTGACACAACGTTACCTCTCCACACACACCCACGCCTCCTGTTTCAGGTACCAGGGGTCTTAAATACTTCTAAGCCAGATGACCTTGGGAAGCAGAATGGGGAGAAGTGATTTTATTTTCTGGAATGGGAATTGTACAAGTAAAGACCAGCCAGTGAGCCATGGCGAGAGCGGGATGAACCTGCCCCTTGGCCTCTGCTGCCGCAGTGTTTTAAATCCCGCAGCCTCCAAGAGCCCAGCTGCACTGTCTAGACAGCTCAGGAGATTTCTGTCCATCCAGAGTAGAAAATCCAGATGCGTACGTTACCCCAGCACGTGTGGGGGGGGGTTCACAGGGTGATTCTCTGCAAGCTTTGTGCTGTTTCTTTAGGACTGATACGCTGCAGCAGACCTGCAGGTGTCCCGTGGTCCTTACAAAAGCCAAAACGCTCCTCTCGTGTCTTGTGCTACGTGCAAATCAAAATAAGTATCTAATGAAACGTTTGGCAGAGCCAGGTTTTAACACGCTGGAAATTTTAACTAGAAGAGCCATCCAAGGAGCGGCGAGCTCTCCCTGCCCTCCTGGGTGATGCTGCACCCGTGCCCGTGCCTCCCTGCGACTGAAGCACACGCTGCTTGCCCTGCTTAGCACTGATTGATTATTTTCTTGTATGCGTGTGTGTGGTCTTTAAAACTACACGTAAAACTGCTGTATTTAACCAGTAAACTCTGCGCATCTGCCTGAGGAAGTCCTGTTAGACTACTAAATCTTTATGCCCTCGAGTAATTAAAGAGTAGCTGGTGCAAGACCCAAAGCTCTGCTTTCTCTTCCCGGTCTCCCCCTTGCTCCTCAGGGATGCTGCATCACAACGCGGCTCGTCGGAGAAAGGTCTCCCGTGGGTCTTCTCCCTGTCAGGGATGGACTCTGTTCTTTCCACCCGGGTTTTGCTCTGCGAGGGTGAGGTCTGCAAGGAGCTGCAGCAGGTTTTGCCCCACTGCTCGCTGTAGGCCGTGCTGCTTAGTCCTTTCCTGAGAGCACACTAATTTTTTTTGTTTGTAGGAAATGACTAGAGTGAATGGATGAAGATGAGCCCCCTCGTTTCAGTGTGGTGTGTTGTTTTGGTGTTGGTTTTTTTTTTTTTCTTTGAAGAATATAACATTTTCCTTGTTAGGACAAGCTAATTGATTTTTGGCTGCTTTCCATTTTTTCAGTGGTAGCGTTTCGTATGTTGCCATCCCTGCCTCTCTTCTGTATTTTATCCCTTCGTATAAACCCCGTGTTTATTTCTCGGCAATTACACACGTCTGGAGGAATGTAGTAAATTGTACTACTGTATTATCCTTGATATATGCATACGTTTCTACCCCCAAAAAATTGCTTATGCAAATATGTTGATAAGAAAAGAAATACATAGTGTGGCTCTTCTCCTTCATGAATGTTGATGGGTTTCTGTTGCAAGAGGCTTCTCTCTCTGCAGTTGGAGCAGCTGTAAGCCTACTGCAAAAGATAATTTAAAGAAATTTCCTGTTCTAGGAGAGAAAAGGTTGGTGTTAGCTGCGCCCTGTTGATGCTCCCAGGTCACTTGGCTGCAGGTTGTCTTTGCAGGGTGTGTATTAGTTTTGCTACGGGCTGTTGGAGCGGCCAGCCATGTCCATGGACAACAGAACCCCAGGCAGGCAGCTCCATCCTTTGTGCCACTGCCCTGTAGCTCCCCAGGGTCCAGCTGTGCCACTCCTGGCAGAGGTGCGTAATCCCCGGGCAAAGGTCCCCTGTGGTGGTCCAGCATCGTGCCCAGATCTGATTTTCTGGGCTTAAAGGCCATTCCAAGTTTCCCCTCATTTCCTTTGCCTCTCGTTTCCCCAGCATTAACGCTCAGTCAGGAAAGTGCTCCTTGCCCTGGCTGTAGGATCTGTGGAAATTGGGGGGGAGTTTGCCTTTCTAGACAACACACTCTGGCTTCAGAGCCAGCTGAAGGAGCTTTATATTTTTTTTTTTTTTTACCCCAGTAATGCTAGCTTTAAAGAAAAATAATCGAGAGAAGGATTTAAGCCATTTGTCTTTTGTCAATGTATTCATCACTTTAAAAGACTTAACCAGGTAGTGAGAAATTCAATAAAAAATCCCGACTGTCTTAGTCTGAAATAGCACTGATGTTTAGCATCTACTTGCCTGCTATATGGATGTTGTGAAACTATTCTGAGTCTTTTGTTATCTCTGGAATAATCACAGAATTGCCGATATCCAATCTGTAAATCTTGTGGGCGATGGAGGCTGTTCTCCCCCACCCCGCGTTTATCTGGGTTTTTTATGCCTTATTGCTTCCCATGACATGCTTAAAGGATTACTCCCATTTCTTCGTGTTTTATAGCTGTGCTGTTGCAGCACTAAAAAAACATTTAATATTATTTAATCTGCTTTTGTAATGAATCCCAGGCAGCTTTCATTTGGTTGTTATAGTGCTGCCACCTTCCCTGCTCTACTGCTCGCTTCCTCCGGTGGCCACACTCCGGGTGACAGCGTCTTCTTCAGGTTGGGACAGTTTTATTTCCTTTGATTTTCCACCAAAGGTCACTAAGTACATGAAGCTCGTGGTGAGATACAGCCATGGCATGATATGGGTGGGAAATAGTTGGCTTCTGAAAACCAGAAACTATCTGATTGTGTCCCAGAAATTCACATGAGACTATCCCCACTGTGCCTCTGCCCTCGGCTGGGCAGTGACAGCGTTATGCTGGTGTTGAAGCTGCTGTGGATGATGAAGGCACCAGCCCCGAGCTCAGACCATTCATATGGGGGTGGGTTTTTATCCACCCATTCCCAGTTAAACCAGTTGTGAGATCAGCTGCGTCGCCAGTGACTGGCTTGGCAAGGGTCTGAGCGGAGCTTCTGCTGGAAATAGTTCTTCTGGTTTTGTGCAGTTTCTAGCTTTAATATTCTGGAGAGGCAGAATATTAAAGTGTTTGTCTTGGGGAGGGGCAGCTGCTGTCCATACCCTCGTTTTGGCTGGTCTGAGTGGCACCGGTATCTCCTGTGGCTTTGGTGTTCTGGCTGAGCCACTGCGGCTCCTTGCGAGCCCCTCCCTCCGCTCTGAGATTAGAGCATCCCCTTGGTTTTCAAGGCAATGGGCTTCACCGAATTGCCTGTTCAGGTGAGTTCAAGTCTCAGTGGTTTTTTTGTTTCTTACACGCTCGGCTTCTTGTAGTTAGGCTATCTAGGGCCCCATCTGACGTGGTAGGAGTGCTCCATAACCATCGTGGGAATAAGCTCAACAGCTCTCCTGTGTGCCACGTGCGTTAAAGGCTTTGCTGGATCCTGGGGGCTGATTGTTCATGTTTTGGGGGTTTTTATCCTCTTTTTTACTTCATTTATGTGAGAATTTGCTGAGCATTAGTGAGCCAAACCTGGAGGGAGCAGGGAGTCTTGTGTGTGATGTGAACTTGTCACCCAGCACCTCCACGTGTGTGGGGAGGGAAGTTCAGGACTCCTGAGCCCGGGTCCGGTTTGGGACCTGCTGCTTGCCGGGCAATACCTCATCTCCTCTGCTATCGCCTTCGTGAGACACGGCCTCCGTGTTAGCATACGAAGAACGAGCGTTGGGCGAATTTATTTACGGCAAGATCTGTTCCTTGCTGCTATGACTCTGCAGTCTCGCAGCTCTGCTCCGTGCGGAGGGTGACTCCTGCAAGCAGTCGCTGTAATTACGCGGGCAGCAGTAGATTAGCGGTAGCAGTGTTTGATTGCAAACTTTTGCAGGCGTCAGCAGTTTTTCCAACCAAAAAAGCTTTTAGCTCTTGGGCAGAAAGTCAAGTGCCATTTTAAATGCATAGCCATCAGGTTTTTGAAAAAACGGAGTCAGTCTGTTTTCCCTCTTTTTCATTTTTTTTTCCCTTTGGATGAAGTGCATAATAAGCTCTTAGCTCAGATAAATCCTAATTGAGGATTCAGTCAAGGCTGTTGCTAAATTAGCAGAGAAGGTCTGCGAGACAAATGCAGCTTCAGCTTGTCAAAATAAGCAATTCTTAAAATTCTCATATGGAAAGAGGATTCATGTCATTAAACCTTTTTTTTACCTTCCCCCACTCCCTAACACAGCAGCCCTCTTGCCACGTTCAAGAAGCACCCGAATCCATCCCAGTCACCACAGCACGTGCCTCTGGTGTTGCTCCCATGCTTCTTTTGCCGGGCTGTGGCTGCCCTGGACTCGGTGTCACGTGCTCAGAGCAGGGGACCTTAGAGAGGTCCCTTCTTCAAGTGACACGTGAGCATCACTCTCAAATTTGCACATTTCCTTCAGGGCTCTTCCAGTTCCCCAAACTAAGGTCTGTCAGGAATAGGTCCCGCCTGGCAAGCACAGGTGTGGGAAGGGAAGGCTTTGGGATGCGCCGCAGAAGCTGAAGCAGTGGCAGGATCCAGTGCTTGGAAGGCTCTGGCGAAGCACCCAACAGTCAAACGCATGTGGAGATACTGCTGGTAGGCAGCAAGAAACATATAAGAAAAGTGGCCAGCCTGTGTGTCTTGTCAAACCCCATGGAGGAAACGTGGCTCAGAAGCACTTTCTGGGTAGTTGTCCACCTGAAATTTCCTTCCAAAAACCCCCCCCCCCCCCATTAAAGCAATTCTACTACATTAGCTTCTGGATGGGTTCACTCTGGACCTTCAAGTGGCTAGAAAATTAAGAAAGATCACCACCGGGTAATGAATTTAATATGCACCCAGCTTGTTTTGGCATAAATATAGTATTCGGTGATGCTCATTTCTCGCTGGCTCAGTAACGTGTTTCTTTTCCAGTTCAAGATCAGTGGCAAATGGTGCACCTGGATTGACTACGACCGCTTCCAAGAGCTGGTGCGAGAGCACGAGAGGAGCGGCGGGTCCAAGACTTTCACAGCAGCTGATTACGCAGCCAGAACTCCTCGCTGGGCACTGTTTGGGTCCAGAGAAAGGGGATTCGATCCCTTGGACATAAGATACCAGCGAAAGAACAAAGCGAGAGACATCTCTGGGTGCTGAGGTTAGGTTGGGGCTCACCGAACACTCTGGGCTGACTGGGTGCTGAGTTGTGGTCTCTGTTTCTAGGCTTACACTGATTTTGAATCTCTTCACGTAGATTTTTCTAATGCTTGATATTGAGAAGGAGGGTAAAGCCTTTATTTAACCCTCCTCTCCCATTTTTAGGGCTTCCTGGATAAAAATATTTAACATGTTCTCTATCTCAAGATAAACAAGTGGTGCATGGCAGCAAGTTACCGTAACTGGCAGCGTGGTGAGGCAGGCGGTGGCTGTGATCTCCACAGCAGAGAGTGTTTGGGGTGGGATGGGAGCATTTGTTGGAGTTCTGCGCCCTGCTGTGAGGCGAGCCCAGCACGTGCTGGCACCTGGACTTGGCAGCAAAACATTCCACGTCCATAAGGATAACGGCAAGGGGATTTCAACACCGCGGGCTGGTTGGTTCTGTTCAGGTGGGACCACAGGTGGATCTGAATCTAAAAGCCTGAGCTCTGCTGCAAGTATCACTGTACAGTGAGTAACAAAGATTTATGTAGTCTAAATGCTGGCGCCAATTTCTGTGAAGACCCTGTTGACACCCAAGAAACTGAAGCTCAGGAATGTTATAAGTGACAGCACCGCTCTTAAAATTGTCTGCAACTTCTCATATCTCTCTGCCTTCAGTTGCCAAATGACTGAATTAGGCGACAGCACAACCACTTCCCAGCCAGCCCCCACATCTCTGCTGGCTTCCACCAGTCTGCTGCACGGGGGCTTGACCTGCTTGAAGGTTGGACTAGATGATCTTCAGAGGTCCCTTCCAACCCCTAACATTCTGTGATTCTGTGATTCTGCTTCAGCTGAAGCCCTTCAGCTTGACTGAACTCACTGCAGAAGGAGCTTTAATTTAGACCCAGAGGTGTCAGCTGCTGGTTGGATGAAAAACACAGTCGCACTCAAGTGGTTTCGTTCTGTTGAAGCCCAGGAGCACAGGTCAGAGGTGTTCACAACACTCATGCTAACAGCAAGGTCTGTAAGCCTGTGATGCCCAGCTCCCACAGCGCTGGGGATAGGACTGTTCCTGAGATTGTGACTATTAATTTGTTTTAAAAAAAGAACCTCATTTCTTAAACTGTAAGAAGTGTTTTTAAAGAAGAAAGAAAATAAAGTAATTTTCCACCAACATCTTGGGGTTGGCTTACCTGAGGTCAGTGGCAGCTTAGGCAGGACGTGAGGTTTTTTGGGGACTCTCGTTAACCCTGGAGCACCAGTTCCGTGTGGGCACTGCTGGAGTTTCGGGCTGGCATGTTTGGTGTCCACCATAACCCACCATATTCCCCTCCTAAGGGAGCCTTAAAGAAAACTGTTTCCTCTGTGCTGTTGTATCAGCTCTATTTCTTCTCCCCACTTGCCTTGAGGCACACAAATTACTCGTGTCCCTGTTACACGGTGCTTCTCCACGGGCTCAACTGAAATATCTTGGTGCTGTACAAGGCCTGTCCCTCGTCATCCCTGTGTTACCTCCCTGATCCTCCTTGTGTCCCACATTCCATTCGTCCCTCTCCCTCATCCTCCTCATCTCCCCTCCATCCTTCTCCCTGATCCTCCCCAGGCTCTGCTCCAGGCTCTGGGGTAAATCTGTCCTGAGCAGGTACTTGTGGCTGGTTTCCAACCCTGGAGATGGGGCTGGTGGGGCCACCACCTCTGGGGCTTGGTGGAGGACAAGGTGGGTGACCTGCGCTGAAGGCAATGCCACGGCATCCCCGTGCTGAGATGTCTGAGAAAAATCCTGCTTTCCCCTGCATGGTGGCTAGAGGGAGAACATCCCCTGAATACCAGGTGGGATGGTAACCGGGGCTGCATCCCACCCGCTTGTCCCTCCTGGGGTCCGTCTGACATCTGGAACCTGCTCTGAGAGCAATTTGGGCTGGATTCGCTCCTGCAATTACACTTGAATTGCCTTGTGCTTAGAGCAAATCTTTTCAACGCACGTATCGGGAAGCAATCCTCTTACACGAGGAGCTTTCAATTGTACAACTTAATACAAATCATCATCTATCGCTGCTGCGGGGAGACGCTAAATTGAAGACCCAGCCAGGCAGCGTGGGCTGCGGCTGGAGCTCCAGCCACCTGCAGGCGGGTGTGGGATCGTGCTCCGCGTGTGCTTTGGAGCTTGGCTTCTGCTGGGAGCTGCGTGGTTTGGGTTTTTTACTACTTGCCTAACCTGAAATGGCTTCTTCTAGTTTCAGCGTAGATTGCTGCTCTCCAGGATGCTCGTGCGGGCTGAAAGTTGTGGGGTTTTTTGCAGAGAAGATTTAATGGTATGGGATGCAGTCTGTAAAAAAGTGATCTTCAGCTTAATGAGAGGCCTTTTCTATTCTACTAGAGATTGATAAAAGATCCCAGTCTGGGACAACCTCTTTGAAGTCATGATTACAGGATCAGACCATCCTCTTGTGACAGTGATGCTCAGAATATATTTGACTTAATAACTGGGTAACGCCAACCCCTTTTCCAGAGGGTCTGAGCTGGAGCAGAGCCACCCTCCAGCAGCACATGCCTGTGGTGGTGCAAGGGAGGTCTTCATCCTCCTTGATGCCCCCCTGGGCTGCCCAGGACCACCTCCAAGGAGCTGCTCTGGCTTGTGGGGGGGTTTTCCCAAAGCCAGGGCACGGTGTGTTTACTGGGCACCATTTACAGCAAAGAGAGATCAGTTGCTTCTATAACCAAACTGGTGGTACTCAGGAGGTTCCATCCTAAAGGCAAAATGGGCAAAAATTATTTTAATGGCTTAAAGCCGGGGAGCATTTGAGGAGCCCTTTGCCCTCTGCCTGGTCCAGATCCTCTTCCCACATCCCAGGCTGGCATCTGTCCTCGCCATGCGTGGTCCAGCCACTTTGCCCTTCTGCCCTGACTCAGGGGGTGAGTCATTTGGGATGGGGGTTGTGTCTCATTTCTGAATGAGGATAAATATATTTGTTTCCAAAAATCTCCAGCAGGAAAACATTCCCCCAAACAGAGAACTGTCATCCATCAGCTTCATCTGGCTCCGCTCCTAAATCATTTACGATGTTAGAGCTGCTACTCTGCCCTGAGGGGAAAGGAGGAAGATATCAGAATTAATTGCAGGAAGGGCATCTTTTTCATTTCATCAACTGCAAACTCAGCCAGGAGTTGGCAAAGGCTGTGGGCCCTGTGGGAGGGGACCCGGCCCAGCAGTGAGAACACGTGCTGCTCCAGCAGCTCGCTGTGATGGAGGGGAGGCAATTAATCCCAGGGAACTATTTCAAAGGAAGCCCTTGTGCTGTTCTGGAGCTTGAGCTTTCCCGGGGGTGGGAGCTCACTGGTTCTTTCCCCTCCTCTGCTCCATCTCTTGTCGATTCTCCTCCCCTCCCCAGCCAAGCGAGACCGACCGGCACCTGCTCGCTGCAGCGGGGATGGAGGTGGCAGGAGTTCCTGCGTCTCGTTTCCAGCAGCGATGGGACATTTAGGAGGAGATGACCCCTCGCAGGGAACCCACGCCAGGCACTGCCCGGCTCCTTCTGCCAGTCCAAACTGCACTTCCAAAACCCAGGAAGCAGCAACTCAGTGGAAGCCAATGAGAGCATGAACTGGGAGTGACTTCATTGCTGTCACCGTCCACCTCCCCATCCTGGGTGCCCATGTCCCCCCTCCAGCGTGGGGCACAAGCCCACATGGCCGTGTCCTCCAGCTTCCTGGAGCAGAACCATGCTGCTTGGGTTGTCTCCCTGGAGCTTAGATAAACCCTGGTCTCTCTCTTCAATGCAAAACCTTCCTCTTATTACTTGGCAAGACTGAGGAAGAAAAGGTCTTTCTGCTGCTTGCACAGCACTGGTGACCCCAAGTCACGAGCAACCCTCGGAAAGGTGATGCTGAGGTGACCTCCTATCCCAGGAGACGCTGGGAAGTGTTTGCAGAAGGGTGGCAGAGGTGGTGATAGCCACCTCCAAGAGCAAATTCCCTGGTTTAATTTAATTATCAGCAGCTTCTGCAGGTGGGGAAGCCCCAGATAGAAGGAGGATGGGGGGTGCCTGGGGTGGAGGGAGCCTGGGCTGGCCAGGGCAGGGCACAGGGAAGGGTTCCTAAAGTCCTGCAGTCACTGGAGACATGGCAGGGTCCTGAAAAGGCAAAGAGATATATTTGGTTTGGTGATTTAAAGCAATTCCCCCAGAAGCTGCTGTTTATGTCGGACTGGAAATCATTTACTGTCTCAGCAGGCTTGCTGTTAGTTTTACTGTTTCTTTTTTTTCTAACAAGAGCCTGCCCTGCATTCTCAGCACTATGCGCCAGGTCTCATACCCTGGCTGTGACTTTCCCTGGCTCCTGGTCAACCTTCTGCCCTCTCCAAGGGGACCGAGGCAGCCACAGCTCCCCACGCTGCCTTTCTCAGCCGAGGGGGAGAGGGGGACCTGCCCTGCAAGTCCCAGATGGGATATTGCTGTGCTTGTCCTGCCCTTTTCCTTTTATACCCCTAAAAACCCAATGCAATGGCTTCAAAATGCCGCTTGGTACCTCCCTGGAGGATGCTTGCCTGGCTGCAGGACCTAACCCTGCGGACACCCCAACCCAGGGCTGGAGCATCC